GAAAAAGATGCAGCTTTTGTAGTTTTGCCTCTGTACTAACCGAAACAATCAAGAAGTGATTGACATGCAGGCATTCAGCTTTACTTTGTGAGGTTTACTAATTACACACATGCTTTCTTTTTCCAGAAGGTCAAAAGTAATTTGAGAATGAGCTCATACACAATTTCCTGGCCAGGTGACACCTGTTCTCTTGCTGTTTCCTGACATGATGCAGATGTAATATGTGAAGTTGAATAAAAGTGTTGAAATTATATTTTGCAGCTTTTCACTCTTTAAATATGTGACTTAAAGAGTTTGGGGGGGAGACCATTATGCTGAAAAACCAAAATAAACCTGTCAGATTGATACCAGAGGCTTTTGGAGTGGCCAATTCAACAATCTGGAACATTCTTAAAAGAGAGACTCTGGCCAGCTGAAGAACAAAAAGCTTTGAAAGATCACAGATTCAAACTTCTATTCTATACAATTTTTTAGTTAATATTGACACTTCAAAAGGATATGACAAATCCAACACTAAAATCAGTTATTAAGATTGTTTCTTTTAGGTCTTTTATAAATGTTGTTCAAGACGGTTTGACATCAGGGTGGAAAATTTATTCTACAATGAGCTTTTCTTTTTCCCCCCAAATCAGTGCAGTTACCTTTTTGGTATTTGGAAACCTGGTTAATTATTGTTCAATCCTCTTCTGACTGTATTCTACAAACCAAGTGGAAATAACTTTGGGACTTCTCATGTTTCACTTTGACATCTTCCCAGAAGCTTTCTGTAATTCCAGACAGCTGTTCTTTAACCTCTGTGCATTTAAAAGTGTATCCAGTGTATTTTTATTTGAAATATTTTTGATTTTTTCCATGCGATGATATAAATTCCTGTGTGTAAAACGCAAAAAAACAATGTCATTAAGTCAGGCTTTTTTGGGAAAGTGGCTAATCACGGTGTCAATGCTCGGTCACACCTAGAAAATGTTCATTATTAAACATGGCCTTTGGCAGCTTCACGATAGGCTGATAAGGTAATGTAATAAGAGGTCTGGCAGAATATAACTGAATATAAATCAGACTTTTTTTCTATTCTCACTAGTAAATCAGCAGCCGCCCAATGAGCTGATACAGAATAAACATTAAAATTCAGGACAGCAAGTACTTCAACTGCAGTTAATGGATAAACATCAGCACCATCTTATCTGAGCATTAAAAATCTGCCAAAGCAGTTCACTATAAGGATATTATCATCAGGTGTTTCTCTGGTGATACTGACCAGGCTGTAGCACTCAGTTGTATTTTATTTATAGATTATCTTTAGCCAAAAGGCTTCATACCTCGAACCACAAAGCTGCCACGAGATGTGAAACGGTCCAAAAGATGAAAACAAACACTGTATTCTTTAATTGTGACTTGCAGGATCTCAGGTTTGAAAGATGCCACAGCGCCAGGCATACATTTGTTAAATGAGGTGAGACAGAATGCATGACAGATTTTCTGTTTAGCCGGTGCTCATTACAGAGTAAATGCCCATCATCTCTCAGTGTGTGTTGAAGATTATGAAGTCACCAGGCTGCTGATAATAGCATTTTATTCCCATTAAATGGCCATTTGAATCACAATGTTTGGCACTACTTATAACAAACTGATAGCAAAGCTATTACCATTAACTAACCAACCTGCTAAATGGAGCAAAGCCTGCAAGCTAGCTGACGCAGGCGAGGCGTTATACTTACATAACACACTTTACTTTATAAATCCTAAATTTAAATCTGTGGGCAACTCCTTTAAAAAAAAAAAAGAAAGAAAAAAAGTCAAAAATCCTATTTCATTCTAGTCATACATTTTTTGTGTGACCTCTGAAAAACCTGTCCAAATAAATACCTGGCAGCATTTGAAAATGGCCGCCAAGTTTACGAGATTTGATTGCAGAAGAACTCTGGTCAATCAGTTCTCAAGACAAATGGTCACGGCTGCTGTACCCTCTACAAAGTGCCTTGTGTAAATAAGTTAGGGAAATCACACTTTACAATAGGTTTTACTTACAAGGAAATTATTACTTTTAGCACATAAACATGCTAATGCTACCATGTCAATATTGACCAAAAACTCTGGGAAATGTTTCCAGCATCTTGTTGAATTTGAGCCATGAAGAATTAAGGTAGGTGTGACAAAAGTGAGGAGGGCAACAGGGAGTCCAACCTAATAATTTAAAACTACAATCATTCAGTTTCTCTTTCTACAGCAGGCAACGTGTTTGCAGTTGAGCTACTGGCCTTGTAGAGGAAGTTTGAAGCTTAAGTAGCAGACATGCCCTCACTGACAGCACTCACATGCTTTAGCTCCTTGCATGTTAGTCATATGACCACTCAGCCAATAGCAATACTGGTCTCAGACTGTCCTGCTCTTCTACTCATCATCTTCATTTGATAACAGTCATTCAGTTAAACACTTATGGCTGTAATTTCACCTTTAAATGGTACCTGAACTGTAGATTGTTTTGTGAATATAACTGCAAAAAAGGCTCTTCGTGTTCACCACCGCCTTTATGTTAACGCGTATAAGTGTCCCATTGCTTTCCAATAACAGTGGAAGTTTGCTTTTATATTTGATCCAGTTTTTATAGCTCCTTCACGTAGTCTTTTATTTCAGTAACCATATAATCCCCTGTCTTTATTTTCTGCCTGTAAAACTGTCTGCTGTTTTTCAGCGCTACTGTAAAAGATGTATTGTGCAGTGTAATATATGAGATGCTCAAAGGTCCAATCTGAGAGATAATTAAATTTGAGTGTTTTATTGGCACGTCAGGTTAGAGGACTCTGTGGGCTCATAAAATCGCTGAAAACATTCAGTCAGGATTCAAAATTATGGATACCAGTTTGGAAAGCTGACATCAGGGGGATGAGCTGTGTGTGTGTGTGTGTGTGTGTGTGTGTGTCAGCAGTTCTCTAATTTGCTTTTAAAGTGTGTTCTTAAAGTGTCAGCGTACAACCCTCAGCTGCTGCAATCATGTACGTCACCGTGTCTGAGACAGTCTGCATGCTTACATGCATACATATGGAGTGTAAAGTAATAAACATCCTTCTGTGTCGGCATGTGATGTGTTGTCAGTGGACTTTGTCCCTAATGAGGATGTTCATATGAGCTCTATGTTTAGGAGATTAGAGCATAAAGCGAGATAAAGTGCAGTTGTCGCCTAACCTCCATGACTTTACGCAGATTAAAGACGTAACCTGTCTTCTCCACTTACAACTTGTTATGTAATGCAAAAGCACAGGTGAAAGCTCTATTAAAGGTTAAAGGTCAAAATGCAGAATTTGAACTCAAATTTCACAAAATACATGGTGGATAAGAGCTGGAGCCTATCACAACTGTCATAGGGAAAAAGGCGAGGTATACCCCGGAGAAATCACAAGTCTATCAGAGGGTTACCCAGCGAGACATTATGGTTTATGTTCACGTTCACAGCTACAGGCAATTTAGGACCACTGTGGAGTGACCACGCGGGCATGGGGAGAACATTTAATAGGCCCCATCTATTGGCTTGGTTCAAACCTAGCACCTTCCTACTGTGTTAACCACTGTACCACCTTGCCGCCTAATTCCTGTCAGCAGCAACAAGGTTTCTGATTTTGTGTTCATTTATTATTTATTTTGGTTATTTGTGTATTTTGGCTATACAGCACCCTTCTTTAGCTGTGCAAGTGGACCACTGCGAGTGAGGCTGCATGTTTTGGGATTGAGTAGCAGAACAGAAGAGAGCAGAGAGATTTCCTTTTGTTTGGTTGAATTCTTGTGGGTTACTTCTTTAACTTCCCATTATATGCTGTCTCAGTGTGACACTCTTAAACCAGATTTTATAGGACGATTTCACAAATCCTAAAATTCCCAAACCACTACAACAAGTATGTAATAATATATCCGTTTATTAAAAGGTACAAAGAAAAAGCATTTTACTTATTTTTATGAAAAAAAAAAAATCCAGATAATTATATTATTATTTTTTATCTAGAATTAGAAAAAGACATGTTTGCTTGAATGTTACATTTCCCTTTGGTTTACATTTCAAGTGTGTAAGTGGTATTTTTGGACAAATCTATCTAATACAGCAGAGCAGCACATTCTGGTATTTGCTGTCAGTGAAACGTTATCAGTGCAACAAATAAAAGGAACTTTTAAATAAACACGCTCAAATAATTTAATGGGTTATTGTGGTCTCTGGGTTATCTGTGGTACTACATTTCTTGTGATCTTCAATATTGAAACCTGCTCTCTTTTCTAATACCTCGCACAGAAAAGAAATATGCTGAAAAAAAAGGTTTGCAGAGACACTCTTCACCTTGGCAGACTGCACAAGTGGGTTTTGTGTGTCTGGTACACAGTGTCTTCATTAGGAAGTCCTTAAGAAATCAAGTAGAAACTAGGTCTTACAGCAACCTGTCAGCAACATTCATAAACTCTCATAAGCTCTCAGAGAGACCGTTCACTTGCCAGACTGTGCATTAAAAACTTATCTTCTCTTCATAAAGAGACAACAACAACAAAATACCCCACCCTGCCAAAAGGCCGACATTCTGCAGCAGAAATGTCAGCCAGGGTTTCTTGTTGCTGGTATGGATCATGGTGGGCAGCTACAATGAAAAAGGATGGAGATGATAATTAAACAACAGTCACCAGATTGTGCTGCTTCTGTGAAAGAGTCAGATTTGTGACAAGTAACACTCACCATATCAGCGAGTCCCACGTATAGAAAGAGCCCTGCAGTAATGGCACCTATCCACTGCTTGGTAGCGAGGTCAGTGGCTACAGACAGAGCGACGTACATGCCGATGAACGAGGTCAAGGTGCTGGCGATGTTTAGAGCTAAGGCCTTGCGCACAGACAGGCCACAGTTGAGCAAAATGGCAAAGTCACCTGGGGAGGAAAATAAGGTGATTTAATGCATGAATACTGAAAAAAAAGATTAGGTTAGGCACTGGTTTTGTGTTTTGTAAGATAATTACCGAGCTCATGTGGTAACTCATGGCAGAGTACAGCCAGTGACGTGGCCAGACCAGACTTCCAGGACAGGGCGAAAGCTGCACCTAGCGCTAATCCGTCTGCAAAGTTGTGGATTGTGTCACCGATCGTAATCATATAAGGCAGCAGACGCTGCTCTGTGAATGCAGGAGGCAAAGTTATAGTAACCAGTTCTCTCTGTTTGATGATGATGAACTTTTTTGTGTTACATGTAACTTTACTCACCTCTGGTGCGCTCTTTTGGCTCTGGAAGCGGTTTCTCATTGTCCTCACAGCTAACCTAAAACAAATGCATTATGCAAAGTGTAACTAATGATGATTTAGTTTAATTGGATTTTTATTGATAATTGATTTTTTTCTCACGCTATACTCAAGATTCCTCCACAATGATGTGCGAGACTAATAAAGTCATATAGAAAATGATAACCTCAAGTTATTGCTGTTAAAGGTGGTCTTACAAGCTACTGAGTCATAGTATTATGGGGTACAAGTGTGCTAAGTAGGGTACACTTAGTCAAATACTAAGTGTATTCCACTTAGTCAAAAAGTGTGGACTTATGACTGCACAGTCTTATGAAAACTTTCACATGACCACATATCTCTTACCAGGTCTTCTTTGGATATGGAGTGTGACTTTGTGTCTTTTTGTTTCTGTTCCTGTTGATACATCTCTAAAACTCTCCCATGGTCACAGTGGTGAGGCTCAGATTCCTCCTGAAAGGAGAGAAAGGCAAAACTGTTAAGAAATGTAGCCTACAGGCTGAGACAGAAGGAAATAACTTGAGACAAAGAAGGACAAATACTTCTGTCACAATATTTATATCCAACTTTGGTTGTAAATGGATGACAAGGTTAACATTACACATTACACAATGTGCTCTGTATGAGGAGTTTTCTTGTTTTCTTCTTACCCCATGGTGATGTTTATGGTCGTGATGCTTATCACCATATGTGATCAGAGAGAAGGAAACTTCCATCAGGTAAAAGCAGTAGATCCCTGCAATCAGTACCAGCATCTTGTATATGTAGTCCGGAGTTTCTTCCCCATGACTGTGACTTGAATCTTCGCTGCTGCCACCGTTGTCTGAGTGCACGTGCAAACCCAGAAACTACATAAAGAATGCAGGAGAAAGACAAAATGAGTATATCATTAATGTTAATATATGAAAAGACTAATCAGTTTTTACATAGTATCACTGTGCTAGCATATCACCTATTACAATCTTAGTAAATGCCTTATGATTCCAATCTAAAAGCTTTAAAATCCCTCACTGTTGGCATCAGGTGCAATAGGGCATCTCCAGTCAGTGAACCGACTGCCAGGCTGATGCAAAACTGGATGCACATCTGGAAAACACTGGTACAGGCGGCACACAGCAACACCACAATGCCAAACATGGATATCACTGTTATCAGCAAATTGGCGATGGTTGCATAGAGGTATCCTACATGAGAAAGAGACAAATGATAGCATGTATATTAATTGTGATTCTGCTCACTGAAAAGTGGATGCATCTTGAAGCCTTAACTCTTTTAATGTCATCAGTACCATCTTAGTTTTTTCGAGCACAGAAGTGACCATAATTAAAAGGGTGGAATACTAAGTTAACAGTTAATGGTAGCGAGCTTAGTTAGCGATCTTCAGCTAAAGATTGTACGAATGCATCCATACCCACTAAGCACTGCTAATGATTGCTAAATAACTACATAAAATGCTAGAAAACAGAGATGTCTACTTGAAATGCTCCAAAAGGCAAGCATTTTTCAGCCCTCGAGATTTCCACTTTATATCTCCTACCATTCGTTCTGAAAAAGTGAAAATCCCTACAGGATGTGCATTTTCTTTGACATCTACTAGCCTTTATGTTGTAACTGAAAATCAGCAATTGGAAATAGGTGCTTCAGGGACAATCCAGAATTCGAATTTGTGAATAAAGTCTGTTTGTGTGCAGGAAACAACTAGCAGTGACATCAAATGAAAACAGGAAAAAAGTGCCTGGAATGTCCATTAGAGACCAGTTGTTAGCTATAAGTAATGCACGAACAGATCTTATTTCCCAGCCTTTGAGACATGCCAAACTGTCAACTTGTAGAACTATTTGTTACTTGAGTCCACAACGACACTTACTCTCAGCCTTGGAGAGCCCATCAGGTTTTTCTGGATCTGTAATATCTGCACAGGCTCCGCTCAGGATCTGCTGGACAAGCGCAGGGCTGAGCTGAACCACGCCAGGCCGACCCAGACCAGAGGACGCAGAGCTAATCTCTGCCAGGCCGTAGATCTGGACCAGTTCTTCAGCTGAGAAACAACGCTGGGAAAAACAAACCACAGACATCCATTATATAATTTACACCTCGCTGGTATTTAAATGATGAATGTGTGAACCAATTGGCATTTTCTTGTGTTTCTAGGTCGGTACCTGTTCCCAAGTGTTATTACTTTCACGTCCCTCAACACTGTCACTGCTTCTCTTCCTCCATCTCTGGACATTGTCATCATGGTCGGCGTGTTCATCTGCTGTGTGCTCATGTCCATGGTCTTCCTCCGAGCTAGGTCCGATATTCAGGCTTTTCATGAGAGCCTTTAGGTCTATGGTCACACAGAAAGCAACTGAACAAAATGGCCTCGGGATTCACATAATTATCTGTTAGCAAGACATAATAGGCTAATGGGACTACATTTTCCCTATGTTACTACAAAGGAGTGACCACAACAATCGTTGATTTATAAATAAAGCAGTTCCTGTAAAGTTCCCTGCAGATTTAGTGTTTTACAGGCTGTGGGTTTTTGAGTGATTGCACATATATTAATGCTCATATGTTTTTTTGTGTCTGTGCACATTTACCCAGGATAGTGAAATTTTCTGAGCTGAGCTGCTCCATGATGTAGTTCACGAAGAAGCTCTCATCAGGCAGGGACTGATCAGTGAAGCAGTGACCTTGCAGGGCGTGATACAGCACATATCCCAAAACCGCACCCACTTCCTGTTTCTGGTCTCCTGATGATGCGTTGACCTGTGCCATGATGCCACTAGCGCTTGTACAGTTCTATAACATGGTAATAAGAAAAGAAAAGGGGCTGAGTGTTTTGGAACGGCGACACATTTAAACACAGTTGACATTTTGAACACTTTTGAGCAATGGTCAGTTAATACATAATGCACGTGGGACGCCTGAATTGTCAAAGCATGGACTCTACATGGAGTGGAGTTATTGTTTTTCTAGGTCTTCTTTAGATTCTTAAAGCCATTACAGATCATTTTCAAACCGCACTAGCTTTCCTTACTTTTTGGTCCTTATGAATCAACATGTGAATACTGAGACTGGACAAAGGGTTTTAATGACTGTGCTCCACACAAGTGAAACACAACACAAAAAGCTTGTAAAATTAGATAATCTAATCCCTTTTAATCCCTTGTAGTGGACATTGAACAGTGTGAATGCATGTCCTTTCTTTAAACTAATATTTAACAATTTTATTGTTGTTAGATTTATTCTCTTTGTTTTTTAAGTATTCCATAAATTCCTTGTTAGATGACCCCTCAGTGGTCTTTACTGTTTAGATAAAGGTGTTGTAATTTGGGAGGGTGCATTATCATGCTTAAAGAGGCCATCGGGGAAATAATGTTGCCATAAAAGGGAGTACGTGGTGTGCAACAATGTCCACAGATAGGTTGGATATGAAAATTAAAGTCCACATAAATTCCAGAATCTAAGGTTTCCCAGCAAAGCACTCCCCAGTCCATCAGCTAACATACTTTTTTTATTGCTATCACTATCTCTTACACATTCAAGGGATTTTAAAAGGGCCATTCATATGAAGCAATACAAAATGTGGATCATCAGACCAGGCTATCCGATCTGATGATCCTATGCTCATTGCACAGTTGTGTAAGATGTATCCATACACTCATCATGTTATGGTAGTTTTGGACTTTTAACCCTTTCTTTGAAGTTTTAGTTTTCCAGGATGTTCCAGGATGGAAAGATTTTAAGACATACATCCCAGCATCACTGGGATGGCGCTGACCAAGAAAAAAGCTCCTGCTCCAAAATCCACACCTTCAGGTTTGACCAAAATGTGCAGCTGCCCACATGGACAAGCCAATTTAAATGAAGCCTACCAGTTCTGCAAAGATTAGTGGTCAAACATCCAGCCTGAATTATGCCAGAAACCTTTTGATTGCTACAAAAATATCTGCAGATGCAACCTGATAAGGGATATTTAACCAAATATGAGATGGGGTGTATGTATGTATGTGGATATAAGGCTGTAAATTAGCACGATGATGATGCCCGTGATGACTGTATAAACAGCCAGCCAGATTTGAATTTCACCTGTCTGTGGTTTAAATAATATGGCTGGCTGGTGTAAATCCTGGAAATATACTTAACACTCAACTCTCCCTGATTCATTATTGTTTTCCTGAAATGGTGCACCATTATTATGGACTGTTGTACTGTGTTGTATTAACTTTCCTCAACTTAGTCAGTTAAATATTAATATGTAAGAATTTTACACAGGGGAACTCTGTTATATGAGGACATTGTTGTGTAAAAACTGTCTGTGAAAAACTATCTGCACTAGATAAAATTACAAACCAAAGAAATTTGTTACACAAAACAAAATAAAAAACAAAAAACTATAATAATAAAACTGCTAGAACATGCTGTCAACACTGGACATACATACTCTAAAATACAAAAAGAAGCACAGCTAAATGTTGGGAAATCTGACAAAACTTTTGTCTTAAGGAAGTAAATCGGAAAAAACAAAAGCAACCTTTCACTGAACGTTACAGTTTAACATCAAGTCCAGCTTTTGTGAACTATTCTATTCTAATAAATAAATTACATAACCAAGCCAGTAAAATGAAACGGATACAAAGAGCACTTTTAATCATGATCAGGTGTTATGGTGATGTGGCTAAATACAGGGCATAACCCAGCCCATCTGACCCAGCTGTGATATAAATCTGTATGTAAGCTTCCATTGTCTGCAATCAAATAAAACACACCCTGCAAGAGTGTTTTGTTTATTAGTTATTATTAGTTATTTATTAGTTATTTAATCTGTGAACATCTACATGCCCACTTTTTTCTCATGTTATACTGCATAAAGGAAATGTACAACTGACTGTAATGGGGAAGCGATCTCCCCGTGTGTGTCTCTTTAATTTCCCAGCTGGTTTTAGGAAAAAAAAAGGTTTTTGGAAACTCAAAGGCTAATATTTTACATTCTTCTTATCTTGTCACTATCCAGTTTATAATGAATACGGTCAAAAGAGAGCAATAAATACTATTTACTGAAGATTGAGTATAGGCTTGTGCTTACCTCACTTTCTGTGGGCTCGTAGTGGCTGTGAAGCTCTTGAATGACACCTTCTAATCCATGGACGTCTATGTGTTCATGGTCATGGTTTGCCTCACTGTTGTGTTCATGGGGATCATTATGTGTGAATTTGTGCAGGAAATTTTCAGTCTCTTTTCCCCATGTTCCTGTTTTTATCGCTGTGCAGACCAGGTCAGGAGAAGAAAGGTAAAGGACGGAGCTGGAGGCAAGAGCTGTGAACTGAGATACAGTGACAGCCACATTTACACGGCTTCCTCTAGTTTCTTCCTCATTTTGGATGTCGGGATTGCTTATGAGCTGATGAACGGCATCTGCAAGATCACACTTTGTGTCCAGAGAGCAAAAAGAGGGGATAAAAAGATTAAACAGTCATTTCAATCTCATGAAATTTATCTATAGAAGGTACAAGTGTTCTAATCAGCCCATTACAGGAACTTAATGCATTTAGGCATGTAGAAAGTCAAGTCAAGATGACCTACTGAAATACAATCTGATCACCAGAAGAGAATAAAAGTGATTTAAGTGACTTTAAATGTTACATGGTTGTTTTGGAGTATTTCAGAAACTGTTTGAAAAAGAGAAAATATCCAGTAAGCAGAAGTTTTCTGGGTAAAAACACTGTGTTGATGCCAGAAGTCAGACTCCTTGGAACTGACAGGAATGCAGCGGTAACTCAAATAACTACTTGTTACAACCAAAGTGTGCAGAAGAGCGTTTCTAAATGCACAGCATATTGACTAAAGCAGCAGAGGACTACACTTGGAGCCACACTTCCTGATAGAAGACTGGAAAAACTGTGCTTTGTTTGACTACCCTTGAATTTGGAATGAACAACATGAAAGCATCGAACCATCCTACTTCTATCAATGGCTGAAAGTGTGGCTGATGATTTAATATTATAGGAGATTTTTAGGCCCCCTATTACTATCTGAGCATTGTTTAAACCCCACATCCTACATGAGTATTGTTCCATCCCTTTACAACCACAGTGTATCCATCTTCTAACCACACGTGATGACACACCATCGACAAAGCTCAAATAATCTCAAAGTGGTTTCTTTTACATGACAGCTAGTCCGCTGTACTCAAACGACCACCACAGTCACCAGAACTCAGTCCAGCAGATTTGTTGGATATGCAGACGACAAATCT